ATTTTACTTTAAAAAGTTATGAAGAAAATAAACCTAATTAATATTGGTGGAAATAAGGGATATTTTATATTTAGTATTTAAGCAATTAAATATGTCATTTTGTTTTGTGTTGCAAGGTGATATCTGCATTTTTTCTTCAATAATGTTACAATTTTGAAATTCAGGTGCAAAATACGTAAAATTTTATATTGTAATACAAAATTATGTCAAGAGATTATAGAACGATATTTTCGTTGCTATATTTAAACAATGGTTACTTCATGTATGTACGTACTATGTATTTATCATCAAATTAGAGTTAGACATTAAATATAAAGACTTTTAAAATGAATGAGTGAATTTGACATTTAACAAATTTTGGTTTAGAAAATTGTACAAGAAATTATCACAGATCCTATATTTGTGACATTTTTTAAATATACAATAAATTATTCAAGTTATTAGTCGAATTTAACCACCAACCTATAGAAAAAAAAAAACAAATCATTATAGACATAACTTATACCAGATTAACCCAATACTTACATACACGTGCGTAATCCATTTTAAAATATTTAAAATGAGCTACTCTGCCCTTATTTTTTTAATGGATCATCTTGCATCTATTTAAAACACTTTTTTTTCAAAATAGATTTATTTTATTTTTTGATCATATGTAGAAATATAATTTAATTTGATTGATTTAACATAATTTTCAACGACTTGTTTTGAAAAACATTTCTTAAATTCGTTGACAGCGTTGACTAACTTCAAAGAGGTCACCAAAAGCAATAAAGCAATGGAAAAATTATGCAGGAATCATTATCCCAGAGAATAATTGAATTCCTGTCTTAATTATTTAGCACCCTTAGGCATAATTAAATATAGGGTTCAAGATTATTATTTAATTGCAACCAATTTCGGAGAAGCAGTAAATTGGCGTTACCTACAAACTATATTCGAAAGTTGAGGACAAAAATAACCAGAAAATTTCTCTCATTCAGAATTGTATTTACAGATTTTTTCATTGAATTCATTCATTGTCGCCAGTTCATATCATTGCGAAAGTGATTGTTTTATATTTTTGTCTATTAAGTACACTTTAACATATTTTATGTTACTTTGTATATTATGATGTTTCTTATTTAAATCTAGGGTGATTCACAACTTATCCAAAAAAAATTGAAAACAGATGCGTCAATATCGTAAAAAAATTATTTGTAAAATCCTTATAGAAAAATAATTGAAGTTGTAGTATTTGCAACTTTTTCATCGATGGGCTACTGTAATCTCTAGCGTCATTCGCTCCAGACGATTCCGAATACTGAAATACGATTTTAGTATTATCGTTGTTGTGATAGTGTTTACATTAGTTTTTCAAGTGTTAAAATGGCTTTCGTGTATAGCAACTCGGATTGATGGATATCGTTTTAATTTATGGTGAAACAAGACAACATTTGTGTTATGGCGAAGCATCTGTGTTAATGGTGAACCAAAACAACATTTGTGTTACTTCGTAGAAACTGGGTAAGATGGGCCCAAATGTATTTACACGTAGGTGGACAAAATTTTAAAGAGTTGTTATATGTCAAATTATTTAATTTATTATTTGATTAATTAAAACCACAAATTTTGCAAAATTTTATTAATTTATACAATAGCGACAAAAGCAGTTGAATTTGCTGATATAAAATAGGTATTACAAAATTTTATTTATTGTTTTCTTTTGGAAAAAGATTAATTCAATTTTTTGTCCATTGGCCTTTTATTACACTTTGCCGCCGTGCTAGTCGCTGACTGCATGCTTTGATTTGCGTCAGATCAGGTTTTGCAATGGACCAGTTTCCAATGCCGTGCAAAAGTGTATTTTCGAATTGCCCTTTTTGATTTTTTGTACAAAATTGTATTTGTAAGAATCCCCTGTACATTCAAAAATTTTTTTGGATAAGTTCCGAATCACTCTGTATATTAATTCCTCTGTAGAAATAAATAATTGCAAATTAAATGTTCTGTTATTGGTGTGAAAAGATTTGCTGAATTCTCGAAGAAAAATTAATTAGAAAATAAACGTCGTTTTTTCCATTGCTCAGCACTTCAATATTTCTCACACGGACCTAATGAAGTGGCAAATAATTAATCTCTCTCTTTACAAATTGCTCTTTTGTAATCCGGAACTACCTGAAATATTTTTTCAGGTATAAAACAGAATAGTTTCTTTTTAACTCTTTTATGAATTCAAATTATTGTTGAGACATCAAAATCGTAAATAACATTTTTATAAGTGAAACAATCTGTGTCCCAAGTCACGTTTTATTCATTTAAATCGCGAAACTTATATCAATCAATTGCGAGTCCGCAAATATGTTAAGTTTATTACCCCCTCCTTAAATTGTCGTTAAACTCGTGCTGGTTTTTATAGATTTTAAAGCTTTGGAAACCATCACGGAGAACTTGTACAAACCTGATTGCTCAAAGCAGTATAAAACTCGCATAAACCGTCTGCATTATTTCTTCATTAATCTTTTCATTCAGACTTAATTGGGGTTTAGGTTAGAATAAAAAAATCTTAATGTTGACTGAACAATAAGTTCTTTCAATATGTCTCGGAAAAAAATTATCAATAATTTCAAATAGGTATCATACTTTGTCTCTACTGAATCTTGCCTAAATACAAGGAGGTTTCGAAAGTAGTAAGAAATAATTCTGCTGGCGTCATATATACCCCTACTATTTCTAAAAATAATTAATCTTATGACAGATTGTACAACATAGATATTAGCAATAAGTATAGTCTTCCCGAAGTCAGTTGAACATCTATAAAAACGCCTAGCAATAATTCCGTTTAGTAAACAAAATATCCTTATTATTTCTCCCTTTTACAATTGTAATATGAATGATTAATAGAAGGTGCCTATTATAAATTAAAATTACCTGAATTACACCAAATTTTGCATTGCTGCACTGCACTGCTAGCCCATTTGTCGACAACTGAATTTATGGTCAGGTCACCCAGTTCGGCTGTATTTGTGCCGTGTTTTCCCGAGTGCTCATTCTTCGTCTGGGCGACCAGGCCTGTACATAGGTATATAGGTATGGTTAAATAAATATGGGAACAAGTTTTTCGAATATTTCAATGCCGAGTTGCTATGTCTGCGACCGAACCTGGTACATACTGCCAAACTCTTGGTTCTTCAATTGAGATCGGAAAGACTATACGTACATTAAGTTACATTTTTAAAGAGAAAATGTGAGGGCTTCCGATCCAAAAATCATGGGGTATGACTACAGATGACATTACTGAATTTTTCAAAAAGCTTAAAGATAATATACCAGTCTAAAGGGCATTCAATTTTGCATTCACCCATGACAATTATGGGTTATTCCATTTGAAAAAAAAACATTTTCAACTAGTAAGATTATTAAATGTAGGTCTCAGTCTCAGTCCCAGTCTTGATAAAATTTGAGAGAAAAGTGGTTTTCCAAGGCCTTCTTGACGCTGTTACATAGCTACTTTTTCGGACTTTAGAAAAGAACCTGATTTTTCTGGAAAACTGTTAGAGATAAGTATGGACAACCTTATATCAGTCGAAAGGGCATTCAATTTTGCATTCATCCAATTAATATGGGTCATTCTATTTGAAAAAAAAAGTTTTTCAACTCGTAAGGTTATTAAATGTAGGTCTCAGTATTTGCGAGTCTGAATAACGTACACGTTTTGCTCAGAGATGACAAGATAGAGTAATTTATGCCAAAACGAACTATGAAAACTGCAGGTTTCTAACTCCTACGGTTTAGACACTATCTAGCCTCATTTAGAGAGCTGAAATTGTGACTTTTTCAAAAACAACTGATTATCTCGAAAATTTTATTTATTTATTATAAATTTTACAGTTACAGAGTTACAGAAGAATCTCTCTTAGGTGGAACACCCTGTATACCGGTCATTGTTTCCGAAGATCGTCAAAAAATTTGAGTGAAATCGGCAAAATTAATCCTTCAACTAGCAGCTCGGATAAAAAAATTAAATTTATTTCCAAGTCTGAATCTCAACTTTCTTCTGCTGGTCTCAGTCTTACAACTCACTATTCTGTTACGAATTTACAAAAAAATTAACTTAAATTTACAAAAAGTAATACGAATATTGCCCATTGATTTAGAAAATGTTGATATGTTTGTGTAAATAAATGTTATTTCTATGAGTATTTTAACAGCACAGACATTTGTGATTATGAATCAAAGATGACATCAGGAATTCTGCTTCCCTTGCAATGCAAACTGTTTAAAATACTATTATATCGTTTTTGAGCACCAGTACATTTTTTTTTTGACCGAATGCATATTCCGAATTATCCTCGCCGATGGTATTCCAATATTAAATCGATCCCCGACGCCGTAGGAATACTGAATGAAAAACGTAAAAAATCTAAACTCCCACCAATAACACCTTTGTTTTCTTGGATCCGCGAAATGAAAAATGTCACGTCCATGCCTCCTTGAACGAAGGAATGCATCTCATTCACATTTCTGCTCGTCCAGAAAGTGGAAAATAAAATATAAGTGAACAATTTAATTGGAATATCTTCCTTCTAATATAAATATAGATCGCATTTTTACACCCGCCTGAATGCTGAGGCATTTCTGAACTTCATTTCCGCCTAAATTACATCTCCAGCAAAAAAAAATTAATCAGTAGTTTAGTATTCATACAAAAATAAATTGCCTTTAAATTTAAGTGGGGTATAATGTCAAATTTGTTGCCCTTAGCAGTCTAGAAATAAAGCTGTGCCCAAAATAATTAATAATTAGATATTCTCTGATTCTGCTCATGTAAATAGTATAGTTTTTTATGTGATAACTGCATATCTTAATCTTATAGTTTTTCTGCACTCCCATGGCTTGAAAAAGCAGATATTCATTTGTTTTTATGTGATTATAATGGCACTTTACTTACTCATTAAATCAGGGACTGAAACTGGAACAGTACTGAAACGGTGCATAAAAATATCAATTTTTTTTCTAGAATGGATTGCGATGAATTTAGAAGCAGAGGAAAGGAGATGATAGAGTACATTTGCAACTACCTGGAGAATATAGAAACCAGAAGAGTTACCCCTAACATAGAGCCTGGGTACTTGCGGAAGATACTCCCCGAGGAAGCTCCGGAAAGTCCAGAGGATTGGGAGCACATCATGTCGGACGTTGAGTCCAAAATCATGCCAGGGGTGACCCATTGGCAGCATCCCAGGTTTCACGCGTATTTTCCCAGTGGAAATTCATTTCCGTCAATTTTAGGTGATATGCTGTCGGATGCCATTGGATGCATAGGATTTTCATGGGTATTAGAAGTAGTTTCCTTTTTACTGACTGAAAAAATCTAACTGAAAGTTTCACTTTTCAAAAATTCGAATAAACAAAAGAAAGTTCTTACGTAACAGGAAAATTGTTTAAAAACTTAGATTGCTGGCTTCTAAGACAGATCTCAGTGGTTGAACAATTTCCAGACTGACTAAGACTTAGTCAGCTTAGCTTTTTTCTAAAAAAAGCGATGAGTCTAATCCAATAACATGGCAACTAGTCACTATAATAAATGGTTTTGTCTTATTACTTGTCATAATTCCATTGCTTCATAACACATTTAGCCCAGTTATTATAGACATGAAAGAGTCTGTTTGGGGAAAAAAATACTATTATAAGTTTTTTGCAGAATATTGTTCGGAAACCTGTTATAAATAAAATATCAAAAAATCAACTTGAGACTAGTTGGGAAACTTGTTAAAACAATGGTCAAAATTATGGAAAAGTGGTTTTTTGACTCGCGTAAAAAAACTGTTATTCATAGCGAAAAAAAGGTTTTACAAAAAAGGTAGGTATTAAATAAGCCTATAAAATGAGAAAAGTCCGATTAAATTCCGATAATTTGTTTATGCACAAGAGCTCAAAAATGGTCGAAAATTGCCGTTTTTTTCAATTGCTAATAATTAATGCAATTTTCATCGCAGACACTTGTAATTTAGGATTTTTGAGGCTTTTTGCACCCTTAATAAGTGGTAAAAATTTCAGCCCGAAAGCTGCATTGGTTTAGCGTTGGCGGAATTTGTTATCTAAGAAGATGCTATTTTTAATTCATTTTTCCCAAACTCACAGGCGTTGTAGGGTTTCGATAATTAGTTGTTTTTGTACCTAAATAGTTGTATTGACATATGCATTTACTGAGAATTTAGTTTTTCAAATTTAATTTGTTTAAAAATGACTTTGAAAAAATGTTAATATTACATTAACATTAAGGTGAATTCAACTATTTAATTGCAAAAAAGAAGATAGCGGCGATGCGTTCTATTACTTGGTCTAGCGAACGAGTGGGGAGAGCGAGGCGGAGCATGCGCGCTTAACAATTTAATAAATATTAACATTTTTTCAAAGTAATTTTTAAACAAATTAAATTTGAAAAATTAAATTGTCAGTAAATGCATATGTCAATACAACTATTTAGGTACAAAACAACTAATGATCGAAACCCTACAACACCTGTGAGCTTGGGAAAAATGAATTGAAAATAGCATCTTCTTAGATAACAAATTCCGCCAACGCCAAGCTAATGAAGCTTTTGGGCTGAAATTTTTACTAGTTATTAAGAGTGCAAAAAGCCTCAAAAATACTGAATTACAAGTGTCTGCGATGAAAATTGCATTAATTATTAGCAATTGAAAAAAGCGGACAATTTCGACCATTTTTGAACTCTTGCGCATAAACAAATTATCGGAATTTAATCGGACTTGTCTTATTTTACAGATTTTAATACCTACCTTTTTTGTATAAACCTTTTTTCTCTATGAATAACAGTTTTTTACGCGAGTCAAAGAAACACTTTTCCATAATTTTGACCATTGTTTTAACAAAATTTCCCAACTAGTTTCGAGTTGATTTTTTGATATTTTGTTTATAACACGTTTTTGAATAATATTCCGCAGAGAAACTTCTAATAGTATTTTTTTCCCGAAAAATGACTGGCCTAATTTGTTACATTAAACAGTTCCTCTTATTCAATGACTTTCCTTACTATCTTCTGTCTATATTTATTGCATCATATTTTGGAGCTGAATTTAGAAAATCAAAATAGAAACGCAGTATATTTTAAAACTTCTTTCAGTTTAGTAGTTTTTGATTGTGCAATGTTTCAAAAAGATACACTATCCAAGCGATCAGCATGGGAATAAGTAGTTGTAAGAAATGAACTTTATTCCAGGCTGCATCGCCAGCTTGTACGGAATTGGAAACCATAGTTTTGGACTGGTTAGGTAAGTATGTATCAAGGATTTCGACTATCACCACAACACTCTTTGTGGATCAAGCCAAACATGGACAATGATTTGGAAATATTTTACAGGGAAAGCCATTGGTTTGCCAGATCAGTTTTTGGCTTTCAAGGAAGGGAGTCGGGGTGGAGGTGTGATACAGGTAAGTTCAAATAAATGATCATTGTTTTAATAACACGTTTTCACTACTACTAGTGTTAAATATTGTAAAGATTAAACTTTTAAGGTACTTATTAAGGCAATTCAAATTAATTTTATTTTAAATTCTCATTTCATGAAATCATATTGTACCTAGTGAGTGTCATCCTATTGTGCTTCGTTTATACATACTTATTATCACTTTTGAGTTTGTTTTTTTATATACCTCCTATATTAGATCTGCATTCTGTCCTGTCTTCATATTATGTCTTAGTTCATCCCGTCCGGTCTTTGATTCATCCTTTATTGTCTTCAACATTTCCATAAGCTGTTTCATTGACTCTTCCATTTCTGTTAGTTTAGATCTTTACACTGTCATTCACTGTCTTTTCAGACTAATAATACTCAGGATCCCACTTCTGATCCAATATATATCAAATGTCCTTTATTTAGCACAGTTATTTTGCAACAATTTACAAACTTTGACAACTTTGACGTTTCCCAATGACAAAATTATAGGTAACGTTCAAAAACTCTCTCCACACCATATGTTTTTCGCTGTATTTCGAAATTTCCACAGGTTTCTAAGATCAGTAAAGAATAATATCCGAGCTAAGATCATGAAAGAAATAAATAGAACATATTCTACAAACATCAAGAAACAAATGTATAATTAAAGCACACCAGGGTGACTTTCGCTACAACTATAATACTTATGTTAACCAGTGGCGGCCCGTGGGTTTGAATACAGGGGGGGCGCATTCTGAAAAGAGGACGTAGATCATAACAGCTGCGGGGGGTGTGTGGAAAAATTTTAAGGAATTTGAAGGTCATTGTGTTTTGCAAGTACCCCAAAATGAATACTGTCATTGTATACAGTAGCTACTTAGATACAATGCGAGAAATAAAATTCCAACGTGTGGGGGCTGAAGTGGATAATTGATCAACCAACCCAGTTAGGATATAATTATGTAGATTACTGTAATAGTTCATTCTGTATAGTTTTTGAAGTTCCTTTAAAAACGTGGGCATCACTAAGATGTTTATCTAAAACGGGATCAATTTTTGCACTATAGTCTATCAGTTCTAAAAATACCCCTTTGTTTACCGAGTCACTTTTTTTATTATGTCCACGAAGAGAAAGGTTACATGTACCACATAGTTTTAAGATATTTAAAATTTTTGAAAGAAGCAATCGATTTTTCTTAACTGTTTCGTTATGACTATTTACTATTTATTTGTTCTGCATAAGCACTATTTAAACAAGAAGCAATATTTACTCTTCCTAAAAGTAAAAAACTCACCAACTTATTTTTGTGTTTAGGAGAATTTTCATGTTTCTTAATTTTAATTTCTAAATGTTTCAAGTCAGAAACTCCAGTTTTCGTCCAGTTTTCTTCGCCTCCTCCAAACAATAAACATACAAAACAAAAAAATCTATTTGTTTGGTCACAACCACACAACCACAGGGTCTTATCATAAATGTTTTTATCAAATTTGCGAAAGCCGGCCCACTTTTTGCACTCTTTCTGCACCTCAACTAAATTCAACACTGGCGTTGGACGTCCGTTATTTTTCAATTCGACTTTTTCCTCTAAACTTAAATTACTAATAACAAGTTTTTTTATTTCACAAACCCTCATTTTAAACTTAAACTTATAAAATATAATGTCTTAAAAAGCGCCAAAGCAAAAACAAAACACATATAACCACACTTCAGTGATACGGGTTACTG